AAAAACCCCTCGCCGTAAAAACTGTTAATCACGTGACCTATTTGCGTTTGTGTCTGGATTGCGATGGAGGTCCGGCTAGAAAAGTTTTTACAGCGACGGTACTATCGAAGTTATAAAGACAATGATTATATTCTACAAGTTTTTTTTTTCTGTACTATAATTACAAATATAGTAAAAATAATATCTTTACTTTCATATATTAACTTTTATTATCGTATTATTAAGATAATATACAGCATTTATAAGCTTAGCTTTTTTATTATATACTCCTCTAAATTGAAGGATTTTCCTTTGACATCCATTATTATAATCGGGTTACCTCTTGTCGTAGATACACGAATACTTTCGGATGTTTTCGATAAATCTTACCAGATCTATTCTAGAGTAGCCACGAGGGAACGTACACAAAAGCTCGTTTTCCTCCATTTTAGCACTGTGTCGCAATGACCTAGATTTCACTGACTTCTGATTGGTGGAAGGTACTGCTTTACGGCCGTATTCGCGTCGAAAGCTGCTCAACTCGCTTTTACGCTGGTTTTACGACCTGCTCAGGCGTAAAATATCAGGGTCACGTGATTAAAGGTTTTTATGGCGAGGGGTTTTACGCCGTTTTTACGGTAGTGGAGTCTAGGCCTTAGTCACAGCTTAATTCTTCCAGAACGGAAAGCGAAAATACATCTTTCTGCTAATTACGGGCTATATCCCTGGGGAAATCGTAATTAAACACTTCAGGAAGTTATGGGCCGGAATCGGAGTGAACGATGTTCACCTCCTCCGACCCGAATTCGGACCCTAGCTACAAAATAGGGACCAATAGAAAGACCTTAGCCAATCAAATATCCGTTTCGGATCAGAAATTGTATAAAATGACGCCTCCCCAAGGACACATTGACTTTCTCATGGGTATGAAGTTATTTCCCATCAAAGAAATGGACTGTCTTTTTCCTCGGTGAATATCAACGGTCTTTCCAAAAGATTAAGGACTTTTTTCTCTTCTGTTAAAAGACTGCTTTCCACTCCCGAACGATTAGGTTAACCATCGAATCTCAGCGTCTTCTTCCTTCGTGAGAAGATCGTCTTTTTGTTCAGGATCGTCTGTCTTTTCTTCGAGAGATCAACGATTACGTCGGACCTACGTCTTGAGGTAGCCCAATAACTTCAAGATCGTCTCCACCTGCCCCGTTTCCTCAGAAAATACTGTATTGTACTTGTATGTATTGTTTGCTTGAGAATACAACAGAGAATAAACTGCCCAAATACCCTTAAACAAAGGAAAAGTACGTACTTTATGAAGGCATAGAGCCTTTACTACATGAAAATGAAAATTAATGAATACATAGTGTACAGTAATTACCTGATAAGACAGACCTCAGAAAAATACTTTGAGGCATAAAGCTGTCTATGATGAAAATTAATTATCTAAGGTTATTTTTGCCCTGCCAGGGTGTGGCCGCGTTATCAAGAGTGCCAGGTTATCGAGTGCCGAGTTTTCCAGGCAATAATAATGGTATTATATCTAATCATGAAAATAAGGCAATTGTTTGACATTAAACTGAAAACTGGGTTATTAGATGTTGATATTTGTATATTTTATATATCATACTGTACATGTTTATATATTTATGGACAGGGACATAATATTCTGGGAAAGGTGAGATTATATTGGTTCAATGGAATGAAGTAATGCAACATAAAGATGATTTACTAGAAGGTATTTTCCAGGTGGACTTTCTATGGAAAATTTCTCATATTTAAATGTAAAGCACATGAAGAAAATCTGGAAAACTCCATGCAGCCAACTAGTTATTAGTCAGGCTCAAACTTATAACCAACTACATTGTTCAGTAATTTTAGCAACTTGGCCACACTGGTTGGCAGTGACATTAAGACAACGACTAGAAAATAAGGAATGAAGTAAACTTGGGAAAGCTTACATCTAGCATTGGATTAATAAAAGCTATGAATGATTATATATTACTATCTATTGGTATTAATAACACCGATGACCTGCTGTTTTATCAAGCTATAATAAGAATTTTGTTATTTTATATTTTACAATTCTTCATATTTAAAATTTGAATGATGCTCTTGACCTTATGTTATATTTATTACATAACACAAAATATTTCAAAAGCAATTTTGCAACTATTATGCTATTTACAAGAATAGATTACATTCAATATCAGGTAATAAATGGCTTAATTTATCTAATCAAATGTAATCAAAATGCAATTAATAATTATAAAATATTGTTCCTGAATCATTTGTATCAATTTCATAACAGTTTTCATCTAAATAAGTAAATGAAAATTAATACTCAGATAATATGTAACACAGTTTTTTAATTTTCCCTACAACTGTAGAAAAGTATGATACAAATTCAATTATGTCAATTGCTAAAATATTGCTCATATAATTATAGTAAATCCTTGAGTAAATCTTTCCTATTAGACAAAAAATTTCTGTCTAATAGGAAAGATTTAAAACTTTTTTATTCATGAATAGAACATGCTAAAAGGTTGAATTAAAGAATCAGTGAGTATAAATTACTCAATGTATATTATATTATTATTTTATTTATACTTATACAAGTTATACATCATAATAATTATGACACAGCTGGAGAATTAAGCAAACAAAAGAAGCACCTTGTATCTGATACATTTTGATCTTTAAAAAAAGACCCAAAAACATTTGTAATTAAACTGTTTTTGCTGCAAAGATTTTTGTGTGAATTTTTGAATATCTGATATAATATTTCTCAATAAACATTACAACACAGATAATTAAAAACTTTTCCTGTAATTAAGTTAATTGTATCAAAATTTGGATCCAACAGAAATCATTTTCCTTATTAAATAATAATTTATTATTTGTATAATACAGCTTCATTTATAAAACAGTTTTAGAATATATAAATAAAATATCACATTTTAAAATAAAGATATGCATTGAATTAAGTAGTAATTGCTTTCTTAAGTCCAATCATATTCAAGGAGTTTGTATGTTTATTTTCCATAACATTTTTGAAACAAATTTCTATCTATCAATCATCAATGTTACACCATACAGATATTTTGTTACCAAATGTTTGAACACCAATGAAATATTTTTCCTTGTATGCTAAATAATTATTCATTTACAATTAATTAGTTTAAAATTTAAAATCCATAGAATATATAAATTTGAATGTTTATTAATTTAACATTCATTAAAATTCACAAATATTGCTAGGAAATTTTTTAAATAATTATAAAATATTTTATAATCATAAACTATCCTAAAAATAATAATAAAAAATAATTTTATCACTTCTGTTATTTCTAATGAATAATTACATATTTTCTTTCTAATTTTATATATATATATATATATAATCATATTTTTACTCTAAAATTTCATAGTTCCTCAACCAAAACTATAATATCTATCTTAAATTATTAAATATAGCATAAAGCAAGGCATATGTAATGTCAAAATGAAGAAAAATAATGTTTACATTCAGTACTTAATAAAAATCTAAGTCAATTTTAAGCAATATTTCCCTCCTTACATTAGTGGAAATATCTTTATAAAAATAAATTATTTTTCATATACAACTACTAATTTTGAAAAATATGTGTATTTTGGTGTTAATTTTGTATCTTGTATCAACTTAGAATTGACTCTTGTATAGAAAATTTGCATGACTCTCAACCATATGTGAACAACAGAAACAGCATTAGAAATTTGTGAAAAGTGCAAAGAATGTTTTAAATTTGAATCAGGTAATTAAGAAGAAAAAAAAACAGGAAAAAGGAAAAAACAAAGAAAAAAAGTCACTTATGATCCTAGTTAGGACTGGTCCACAAGGTGGCTGTCTCAATTGATAAAATAAACAGTCACAAATGCTCAAAAAGAGAAAAAATAAATAAATAATAAAAACATAAGCTAAATATAATAAAGTTCCATAAATATATTTTAAAGTTGTTAATAAATAGTTCCTACAAGAGTGCCAGTGCTAGACATACTGGCAACAATTCTGGAAACGGGCAGCAAAAATTGGTTTTATCTCGGATGCAAGTTACCGTCAAGCCAGCTGGAAAGAAGGGAAGAGGACGAACAAGAGCGAGCCTAAAAAGACTAATTTACAACTCGCTATCATGACAAGTTAAACTAAAAAATTTATTCGATACTTATGGGTTAAGAGGATGCCAGTCGGAAATAGCGTTTTTTCCGAATAATGCAAATTTTTTTATTTGTCAAATTTAATACAATTGTTAAATCAAACAATAAATTACAATTTATAAACATATAACAAAATTTCAGATATTCTAATAATAAACCACTTGAATATGCAAATTGTTTTGTAGTGTATACGGCAAATATGGCAAACAGGTGATATCTATAATCATCCTAACCTTATCAGTAAATTTTCTTTTTTTTAGATTTAAATTTACTAGTCTATTGTTATTTTGTTATTTTCATTCAAAATCGTGACTTTGATCGCTATTTCCGACTGGCGTCCTCTTAACCCATAAGTACCAAATATTCTTATCCTGTTATCTATTCTGATAGCTTTAAATACAGAACCAAATTTTACAGATCCGTCGCTTGCGTCGGAACGTATTACACTAATATATTCAGAGATAAAAATGACTTTAATACAACTACATATCATCTTTCTATGACTTTAAATTAAAGGATACCTAAGAAATTATTAATTATTATTCTTGTCATATGACAGACTGGTTTTGATGAGTAAGCCAAATATACAATGACTCATTCATAATCAACTACTGAACACGATTTTGAATGAGTACACTGACTTGTCACAATTAACGTCATACAAAACAAAATATACAAAAGAATAATAAGGCTTCACACTTTAAAATACAGAAATTAAGCTTATTTGTAGAATAATATGTTAAATATATTCGATTGGAGTTTATTTATTCAGAAATTTCGAAGCCATCGTTGGTTTAAGAATAGAAAATATTGGACAGAAGCATTGTACTTACGACGATATCAATATGATGATACGTATCGGATCTTTGGCGATTGTTAAAATGAACATAGCAAAAGGTGGACCAAATGCTATAAAAGTACAACCAAAAAATTCCATAACCGTCATCTTTCCACCTTATTTTCTCTACAAAAAAATCGAATAATTATCCCTTTAAAGGCATTAGATATGATTAAACGTACACACCACTTCTCGCTTCCGTTCTACATTTTTAAGTGTTGCCAACTGAGTTGCTGTCGTACAGTAAATAATCACGAAAATTTTAGTCAATTTTATTTACTAAAATATATTATTTTACCGGTCAATTGATTAGTATTTTCGGTCGGTTTATTTTGATGCATTTTTAAAAATATCTCGTTAATAAAATTGAAAATTAAATGAATGAGTGGTGACATGTAGACCAGTCATCCTTCTAGCAGGAGGGTGCGGGTTTATGGTAAGTTCAAACTCAGAGTAGATAGTAGAAACGACAAAGTCGTCGGTCGTTGACTTTGTATGTACAAATAGAGTAACAAATACGTCATCGTATGCAAAATGCAAATTTTTCACGTTTCCCGTGTGTGCGGTCGTGTTGTAAAAATTTTTGACACTTCTTCTGAGACTAGGGTTCGCCTCTGAGTCTCCAGAAGTATCAAAAATTGTTCAAGGGTGATGGTCTTGATATGTAGGACCTTGTCCCACGTCACCCGTGTGGGAAACTAGCCCGTACATAGATGTTACACATCTGCCCACGGAAAACTCTATGTAGCCAGCCCGTTGGTCGGGCACGAACCAGGACCAACTACTGGTGTTCAGTGGTTTTTATTCACTCTGCCACTGATGATTCATCACGTACAAATGATTCCCTATAACACGGGTTCCTATAGTTCGGATTCCTATATCACGGCGAAAAAATTGCGACAGTATTCGTACAAACATACTAAAAAACTCGTATAATTCGGTAAAACGTCATCGCCGACTCGTGTCGCGACAGGATTGGTCGAATCTAGACCAATAGCGGATATTGCACAAACCGTTGAATTTAAACGAGCATGTGGACCTACTAAAAACCATTTATTATTTAACGTCAATAAAAATTATATTTATATTAATGATGTCTCCAAAGTTCAGCGGATTTTTCGCAAGAAAAATAATATCAGGAAGCACGCGAGCGCCATTCGATGACAAGCTCCACGACGAAAATAAGCTTAAGCAATGGCGTAGTCGAACGGTGCACACTCGGTAAGTAATCCTACAATTTTTTGTTTATAGCATAGATTATATGGATTATTCCCAAAAAATTATACGTATTTTGGAAATGTTGAGTTGAATTAGTCTAGAATCGATTAATTTTATGAAAGAAACCTTTTAAATAGCCGTAGTCCGTAAACTGCATACGTGCCAGGCTGTGATTGGCTGGACTCGTAGAAAATGGATTCATAAAAACCGGAACGTATCTACCGTGTTATAGAGGGGTCGACTGTATTGCATCAACTGTTACGTAAGCATCCTTCTGGTTTTACTTTCTATTCAAAACAAAGATGACTTTTTTAAATAAATTTTACGTAAAAATTTGTAAAGCTAATAAAAGAACAGAGTCTCTCCATTTTTAGCGCTGAACAAAAGTCTTCTTCGAGAGTAAGATTTTCAGAATCTCATGAAAGTATTTTTTTGCGCTTAATCAACATGTCCGCACAAACGGGAAATGTGGAAAATTTGCATTTTGCACATAATGACGTATTTTTTATCCTTTGTACATACAAAGTCGATTGAATTTTTGAAAAGTTAAATGAAACAGAAAATAATTCAAGCTATTACTTGAATGAAAAAAGGTTTTTAAATAAAATAATTTTAATTAAATACCTTTATCGACAGTAACATGAAGAAAACATGCACAAAGGGAAAGGGTTTTGTACCTTTTAAGAATTAATTTTTATAACTTTTCTGGTTATTATGAGACATTTTTATGGCTTTTGCTACTTGGGATGCATCTCTTTTAATAGTTCATCAGCTATTTATCTCCTTTTTTTCTACAGCATCTCCCGTTCACCTATCGGTTCGTTGTCTCAATCTTCGTCAGCATCTTCCTGTTGTATATCTTCCTCTGTATCGGGACATTCGTCATTTTGCAAAACTCAATTATTGTGTAAAATGCAGCTGGCTACCACATGATCAGAGACACATATTTCAAATTTAATATGTGAAGCAATTTCAGAAATCGCACATACTTAGGCTTGCTCAAAATTTACACGTGTTGCGCTTAATCGCTTATTCTGCAAAGTATACGATATTGCCTCCTGCAAGTGTTTTTGATTCGTATATATGTGGTCATTATCTTTAAATGATAGCTAAAGGTAGGTGTTGACTGGTATGCAGAGTGAGCTAGGAGGTGCATATCTCTTGGAATAAGTGTTATCTGACTATATGGTCTATGCGCCAGATCTGCGAATCGTGCGCGGAGCAAGGTCACCTCTCAAGCACATTGATGAACCACCCTTCTTTGTAAAGCAGTTGATATAGTAATAAGAGCAATCGACAATCCGGCTATTATACATAACGCAGACATGAGTAGGTGGGTATGCCATATATACCTATACCTATATATAAGTTATATACCTATAATATATAACTGAGTTGCTGTCGTACAGTAAATAATCACGAAAATTTTAGTCAATTTTATTTACTAAAATATATTATTTTACCTCAGATAATATGTAACACAGTTTTTTAATTTTCCCTACAACTGTAGAAAAGTATGATACAAATTCAATTATGTCAATTGCTAAAATATTGCTCATATAATTATAGTAAATCCTTGAGTAAATCTTTCCTATTAGACAAAAAATTTCTGTCTAATAGGAAAGATTTAAAACTTCTTTATTCATGAATAGAACATGCTAAAAGGTTGAATTAAAGAATCAGTGAGTATAAATTACTCAATGTATATTATATTATTATTTTATTTATACTTATACAAGTTATACATCATAATAATTATGACACAGCTGGAGAATTAAGCAAACAAAAGAAGCACCTTGTATCTGATACATTTTGATCTTTAAAAAAAGACCCAAAAACATTTGTAATTAAACTGTTTTTGCTGCAAAGATTTTTGTGTGAATTTTTGAATATCTGATATAATATTTCTCAATAAACATTACAACACAGATAATTAAAAACTTTTCCTGTAATTAAGTTAATTGTATCAAAATTTGGATCCAACAGAAATCATTTTCCTTATTAAATAATAATTTATTATTTGTATAATACAGCTTCATTTATAAAACAGTTTTAGAATATATAAATAAAATATCACATTTTAAAATAAAGATATGCATTGAATTAAGTAGTAATTGCTTTCTTAAGTCCAATCATATTCAAGGAGTTTGTATGTTTATTTTCCATAACATTTTTGAAACAAATTTCTACCTATCAATCATCAATGTTACACCATACAGATATTTTGTTACCAAATGTTTGAACACCAATGAAATATTTTTCCTTGTATGCTAAATAATTATTCATTTACAATTAATTAGTTTAAAATTTAAAATCCATAGAATATATAAATTTGAATGTTTATTAATTTAACATTCATTAAAATTCACAAATATTGCTAGGAAATTTTTTAAATAATTATAAAATATTTTATACAGTCGACCCCCGTATAAGATCATTGATTATTCCGTTTTATATGAATTCCATGTTGTACAAGTCACTTAAATTTTACAAATACGTGAGCCGTTCACAGCCCGGTACACGTATTTGTAAAATCTAAGTGACTCGTACAACATGGAATTCATATAAAACGGAATAATCAATGATCTTATACGGGGGTCGACTGTA